TCACCCCCTGCTCCTTTGCCCCCCCCCCCCCCCCTCCTCCGACACCCAGGACACAAAATGCTGAGCTCCAACGCCAGCTCGCCCTAGCCCATGGTCACATCCGCCAGCTCCAAGGAGGTCAACCCCTGCCTCCCCACCTTGCGACATAACCTGTTGCCCCTTTCATCTACCGACAACATCAGACACAGGTTGCTGCGATGCATTTCACTCTTCCACCACTGGCCACCACGATGTGTCAGGGACCTTCGCCCCAACTCTCTGCTCTTTCTAGTTCTCTTGCTGGTGCCACTATGTCCTCTGTCCTCCTGTCACAGTCAGCTCTTCCTCTCCCTACCCATTATCAGCCGCCGATGTATGTTCCACAGTACCGACCGGATCGCCTCCCGCATGACGGTAGGGCCTCCGAGCTCCAAGGATGGATCTCTACTGCTGAGGAGCAGCTTCGCTACCATGGTGTCGCCATGGAACTGTGGCCTGTCAAGATGTCTTCTCGTTTCACAGGTCGCACAGTCTCCACCTGGCGGGACTTCCTCGCCCTTCGCTCACAACGAGGCGTACATGAGGGCATGTCTTATCCTGAGTTTCGCGACTTCCTTCAGCAGTACTTTTCTCGCCCTGCGCCAACCCGCGATCCGATTACCCGTGTGGCTGAGATTAGATGGCTTGGTGGCGACAATGCCTTAAAGTCATACATCACGACATTTCACCGTGTACTCGCTCAGATTCCCGTCACAACCATATCAGAGGACACCATGATCCAACGATTCCGCGCAGGCCTACCCCAGCCATTCTAGTTGTAGATGTTGGCGTATTTGATCCCCACCTTACCAAAGGCTTTCAACATTGCTAGGGCCATTCATCTCACTTATGCTCCACTCGTCGGCCACTCGCCTTAGCCCGCCGCTGCCCAGTCCGCTACTACTGTAGGCCCTCGCCCCTCCCAGCCTCGGCAGTCTTCCACATACCGTCGTGGCCCTCGTAGAGGCTCTGGACGATCCCTCTCTCGCCGCTTGCATGCCCTGCTTCGTGATCCGTCGAGCGTTGATGATGGCACCGCCTCAGATGGTTCTGCGAGTGACCCAGATCAGGGACCCGACCCTCAGTCCCCCGCAGAGGACGACGCTCTTCCCAGGACGAGCGCCTCGTCCGGGCCCTTTCCGCCCTCCTCCGTCGTCAGCCTCCTCCAGGACTCACTCTACTGTCCCTCAACTACCTCTCCCCGCGGGCTTTGTGTTCCCTCGCAGCCGCTTGACCGTCGCTGAGAGTGAGGACCTTCGTACACGAGGCATCTGCACCCGCTGTCGCCTCGCCGGCCATACCTCCTCTACGTGCCCGTACGCAGACGCCCTCCAGAGTCACTTTGCACAGCAGGCTCGCCCTCAGGCTGTTCCCCTCGCCACAACCTCCAGCGCAGCACCCACCTAGTCGCGATGTCTCATTCCCCTGACCCTCCTACGGTAGCAGGCATACCCGTTCACGACTCTACCTTTGCACCGCTTGCTACTCTTCCCGATGATTCTGCCCCGACTTTATCTTTGGCTGACCCTACCGGCACTGGTATACCTTCTCCTTCCGCGCCTAGCGTCTCTCGTGACCCCCCTCCTCCACGTCCTCCTACCAGGCGTGCTCTTCGCACGGCCCGTTGCAGTGCTTCCCTTATTGCAGCCGAGGATATCCTTGACTTCCTGGACCTCGAGTGTGTTAAGGTCCATCAGGAACGTCTCCGCCTTAAAGAGAGCACCCTGTCCGCGATGTCTCAGCGCCTACACAATCCCGATCGTACCTTACCGATTATTCCAGTGCGCCTCGGGACCTCTACTAGAGTGTATCGCGCACTATGGGACTCTGGCTCTACTGGCGACTTCATTCACCCTCCCGTAGTTAAGGAGGCATCTCTCTATACGTCCCCCTACCCTTCCACTGTCACTGTCACGCTTGGCGACAATCAGGCCAAATCCTTCGTCGGCTGTGTGGTGCCTGATCTCCCGTTTTCTTTCCCCTTGCGGATGCCCCACAGCCTTCGCAAGGCCCTTCGGTTCCATGACCAGTGGACCTTCGACGTCATGGAAACCCTATACGATCTTGTTCTCGGCCCTCGCATTCCTCGCTTCCCTCCTCCACCTCCAACGACTGCGGCTCATCTTGCACCCATCCAGCCCACCCCCTCTGGGCCCCCACCCCCTTATATTCCTGACGTCGCCGATGACGATACAGTCGAGTCTCGCGATGGAGAGTGTCCGGTTGCTTATCTATCTCGACAGCTACTTCCCGTTGAGCGTAATACTACCGACGAGCGCGAGGTCCTTGCGCGGGTCTACGCTGTTAAGAAGTGGCGTCATCACTTGCATGGTCACACTTTCACCGTTTTGGCGGACAACTCTATCCTCACCGCCTTCCAGACGAAGCCTAAGCTCACTTCTCGCCAGGCTCGTTGGTGGCGTGACCTCTCCGAGTTCGATTTCAGCATCAAGAATATTTTCGGCGAAAGCAATCGCGTAGCAGATGCCTTATCCCACCGCCCCGATCTTCAGTGCGAGGATCGTCAACTATCTGCTATTTCAGCTCCCACCATCCACCCCGCCTTTGTGGATGAGTACCGCCGCGCATACACCCAGTGCTCTGATTTTCAGTCCATCTACGCTGACCTACAGGCTGGCAAATCCGTCCCTAACTTCCAGCTCGATCCCTCTGGACTCCTATACTGGTCAGCTCCTCGTTCGGGTCGTCGCTGAGTGTCACGACCAGCGCGCCGCCGGACCGGCGCCGGTCATCTCGGTGTCTTCAAGACACTTGACCGCCTCTACCACCATTACTACCTGTCTCTTATACACATCTAGATGTGTATAAGAGACAGTCTCTGCTGCGACCCCGACCCTTCC